CTCTTTCAAGTTTGATGGAGAAGTGAAATACTTCCATGACAAAGAACAACTAAAGAATTTCATGATGACAAAGCCAAGCCTACACAGGCTCTGAAAGATGTTCTAGAGAGGGACCAAAATGATCAGAACTCCATGAATGAGAACAGAAGCAATGAACTAAATAGGGAAAACAATTAAACACAGGACAAAAAGTAGTAAACAACAACAGGTAAATAACATGTCAATCATATGTCAATATATCTTAATTATAACCGTCAATGTAAATAGACTCAGTTCACCAATTAAGAGTAACAGATTGGCACAGTGGATTATGAAACAAAATCCAACAATATGCTGTATAAAAGAAACACATTTGACTCATAAAGAAATTCATAGGCTGAAAGTCAAAGGACGGAAAACAATACTGCATGCCCCAGCACTTCAGATAAAAGCAGGGGCAGCAATCCCATTCACAGATGGTCTCAACTTCAAACCAAGAATGATCAAGTCAAATAAAGAAGGCCACTATATACTGGTTAGGGGAAAAATTCAAGAGGAAGACGTAACACTCATAAATATGTATGCACCAAACACTGGAACATCTAACTGTGGGAGGCACAATAACTCCAGGCCACCAATCCTATTGCAAGTGAGTTTCCAGGTTCCTCTTTCCCTACCTCTGCTGAGCTAAGCTCCTAATTCTTCTTACCCTGCCTATTTCCCATAAGTCTCCTGCTATGCCCAGGGACTTCCTGTCATAGCCGGGTTGCCTAGATACTCGCACCTTTTACCCGCCAACGTTATTTCCCTACGCCTCCACTATATATACCCAGCACCTCCCCTGAATAAGCGAGACTTGATCAGAATCCTATCTTGTCTCCGTTTCTCGTGTCTCCTGTCCTTTGTCCCCTCCTCAATTCCCCGCTTCTCTCCCAGGTGACCTTCGTTGACTGACCCGCCGCTTCGGAACATCTAACTATATAAAATAAATCATAATGGACATGAAAAATCTAATATCCAATACCATGATCTTAACAGGAGTCCTTAACACCCCCTTATCTCCAAAAGATAGGTCAACCAGACAAAAACTTAGCAAAGAAATAACAGAACTGAACCAGAGTTTGAAACAAATGGACTTGGTGGACATATACAGAGTGTTCCACCCAAACACAGCTGAATACACATTTTTCTCAGCTGCACACGGCTCATTTTCTAAAATAGACCACATACTGGTCCATAGGTCATGCTTAAGTATATGAAAGAAAACAGAAATTATCCCATGCACATTATCTGACCACAGTGCAATGAAACTGGAAATAAACGACCAAAGAAACCAGAAAGCCCCCCTAAATATATGGAAATTAAACAACATCCTAGTCAGCAATCAATGGGTCACAGATGAAATTAAACAAGAAATACAACAATATCTACAATTCAATGAAAATTCAAGCACAACTTTAATATATGCATATTGAAAATTACAGTCCTCTGATAAAAGAGATCAAAGAGAATATCAGAAA